TACTCCTTTGGCTGCTATGAGGAAAAGAGCTCCATTCAGCTGTAAGAGGGAGAAGGCAGTAATTTAGACCACTCACAGAATCATTTATCTTGATATATCCCAGTTCTCTAACAAAATCTTCCATTCTTGCAAGTTTAGCCCATTGTTTCCTTTCTCTTTGTAACCCCAGGGCCTGTAGTAGGATTATGTTGGTGGCAGAGGAAGTAATTACCACCAGACAAAGGCTGGAATGGGGGAGGAGGAGAATCAGATAGTCTGCCCTGAATGTCTCTTTCTCCAGCTGGAGCTCAAGGTCATTCTCAAATTGCAGATGCCTGCAGCTTGCCAAGCAGAAATCACAGAGCTAATAGATCAGCACCTCCCCACAGACCATCAGCGTGATCCTAGTGTTCATGGCTGTCTTGCTTTTCTGTTCTCCAGGCATTACCTCTGCCACAGTCACCAACCCAGTCTGGTTAGTGAAAACTAGGATGCAACTGGAAGCCAGGTGAGGCAGGCTGGCAGAGCAGAGACACTCCATCTCAAATTATGGCTGGTTTGTGGGTGGGGTTGGGTAGGGGTCTGTGACTTGCCTTCAGAATCAGGGCATGCAAGAGTCACACAGTTGTGTTCACAGCAGCACTTGAGGTCAATGGGGCAGTATGCCATTCTAACCAGCCCTTACCTTTACAGGGTGAAGGGGGAGATGGCCAGCAATGCTCTCCAGTGTGCCATGCATGTGTACCACACTGAAGGCCTTCGTGGATTTTACCGGGGTATCACTGCCTCCTATGCTGGAGTGTCAGAGACCATCATACACTTTGTCATCTATGAAGCACTGAAACAGCAGCTGAGAAACAGCCATCATTCCCTTTCCCCTCCAGTCCCACTTTCGCCAAACAACCACGATTTCTTTGGACTGATGGGAGCTGCTGCTGTCTCCAAAACATGTGCCTCGTGTATTGCGTATCCACACGGTGAGTGTGTGCGCTCTCCTTCCTTGCTCCTGTTCCATTCAAAGGAAGGAGATGCCAAGCCTATAGATCAGCCTGCTAATGTCACTTCCCTCTCTCTCTCTCTCTCTCTCCAGAGGTCATTCGGACACGGTTGCGAGAAGAAGGGACACGATACCGTTCCTTTGTACAGACTCTGCAGCTTGTGGTCCATGAGGAGGGACCCTTGGCTTTATACCGAGGACTCCTGGCTCACTTGATCCGCCAGATCCCAAATGCAGCTATCATGATGGCTACCTATGAACTCATTGTGCATTTGGCCTCTTCCACCTTGTAAGCAAAACTGCCGTGCCTGGCTGCAGAGATAGACCAAGCCTCAGGGATATGAGGTGTCTCTTTCTCCATGCTCCAAGAGTTGCTGTGCTTTCCAGCACTTACCAGAAGTGGGTCAGGCATGACATTCTCAGGAAGTAAGTTTTTTTGTTCCAATGTGCACAATGTGGCCTTTCTTCTTTTTGGAGACTTAAATTGGTGTTTCAAGATATGAGGGCACTGGTGTGATAGTGCCTGCTGTAAACTCCCTGTATGAAACAAGGGCATGGAACTTACTGGGAAGGAGACAAAGGAGAAGGCATAAGAGTATCTTAGACAGCCTCAGCACATTCACTTCTTTTGGACCCAGTAACAACCATGGGTACAGTTGGGTACGAAGACAGGCGAGAGCTGAGACATCGGAGAGAACTACAGCCAGGAGAGATACTGCACTGAGACCTTTCATGCCTTCTGAGAGCTCTTCCACCCTCAACTACTGTGCTACCTTCCTGCCCCTAAGGAGGATTTCTTCAGCCTTGGCTGCTAGCAGACGCCCTTCCTTTAGGTCCTTAACATGTTGCAGTGATTGCCCCCAAGAGTGTCAGGCAGCTGACAGCCTCTTTTTGTCTTGCAGGGTCTGAGTAATCAGACCAAGTAGCTGAAGGGAAGAAGCACAACCTCCTGTGAAGTACTGCCCTAACAACTTATGCTACTGGGCTCTTAGCCATGCTTTGCCAGTATCTGTTGACACCTCCTTCCCTCAGAAGTGCTGGGGCTGTTCTATACAGGCTGGAACCCTGTTGTGAAAAATACTTGTTTATGCTGGTAAAAAAAAACAACAGTGGATTAGGTGAAAAGATGGATGAGGCTGAGAATTTTACCTGTTTCTATTAATGATACACTAAGTGTATGGAAAGAGCCTTATTTTTTTTCTCTAATCAATAATTCGATTTGCTGCATGTCTGTGGCAGGCTGGGATGCCTTTGCCTCTGGGTTCTTCAGCTGTGTTCTGAGGAAGGCTACATTGTGTTTACAAAGAGTATTTTGACACTCAGGAAGACAGGGGATGGGATTAGGGAGGATGTCTTTTTCTTGTTCCACCACATACACTAAAAAAGTGTAAGCTTTTCCCAAGATGAGAGTTGGGCTGAGAGAGTTGGGGCTGTTCAGCCTGTAGAAGAGAAGGCTCTGGGGAGACCTCATAGCAGCCTTCCATTGCCTGAGGGGGCTACAGGGAAGCTGGGGAGGGGCTTTTTACAAGGGCTTGTAGTGAAAGGACATGGCGCAGTGGATTAAAACTGGCAGAGGGGAGATTTAGGTTGGACATTAGGAAGAAAAATTTAGTGTGAGGATGGTGAGACACTGAACAGGCTGCCCAGGGAAGCTGTGGAAGCCCCATCCCTGGAAGTGTTGAAGGGCAGGTTGGATGGGGCTCTGAGCAAACCTGGTCTAGGGAGAGATGTCCCTGCCCATTCAGGGGGGCTGGAACTAGATGATTTTTAAGGTGCCTTCCTACTCAAACCATTCTGTGATGCTTCTATGATTCTATGATAAGGCAGTAATTTCAGTGAATACATGCTCTGGGCAATCTCCAGTTTCACATTAGAGGCTGTACTGAGTGTTTCTTTTCCTGCTTGCAGTGAAGAACTACAGAAGTCCTGAACATTTTATTTGAAATACATTTATTTTAAAATCCACTTTGATTCTTCATCCTTCTTACCTTCATTCATTTAGTTTAGGAGTATCGACAATTTTACAAAGCGACACAAGCTGCAGTGTTGGTTGGTTGGTTGGTTGTGGTAGGTTTTTTTTTACATGAAACGAGAATAAACCTCAAACAACAACATTGAAAAAATATACAATATATATATATATAATATCTGGGGGGGGTGGCTGTGACCCCACATAAGCCCTGTGGCTGGCTTCTTCTGAATTTCTGTTCTTTCCAAGCCTCTCCTTCACCACAGTTGGAACTGTGCTGGTGTCACGGGCAAGTGCCCTAAAACACGTTTCTAGAGAGCCAGCTGGGGGGTCAGTAATGTGGGGAATGTCCACAAGGAGAATGGCAGAAGACCAAGGAACATGAGAGACAGAAATGACAAATGAGGGAGGAGCGCATGTGTACAGGGGGAGGGAAGGAGGAAGTTAAAAGTAAGACTTCTTTTCCTTCCAGCCAGATGTTTCAAAGCTCCTAGTAGCGGTGAGAGCCGTCGCTGTTGCCCACGATGTGCCGGTCACCTATGTCATTGCTGTCCGGGGAGTCGGGTGTCTCTGAGTCGCTGCTCTCATCATCATCATCCTCCTCTATGCCTTCCCTAGCTCTGCCCTCGCTGCACTCTGCTGCCTTCTCCTGGCAGCTCTGGTAGGACTGAGAAGGGGAGACACGGGGTAAGGAGAAGGACCTGACACCCCAGCTGCCCGCCCAGCTGCTCTGGCTGCTCCTCACTTATTTCTATTAATGATACACTAAGTGTATGGAAAGAGCCTTATTTTTTTTCTCTAATCAATAATTCGATTTGCTGCATGTCTGTGGCAGGCTGGGATGCCTTTGCCTCTGGGTTCCTCAGCTGTGTTCTGAGGAAGGCTACATTGTGTTTACAAAGAGTATTTTGACACTCAGGAAGACAGGGGATGGGATTAGGGAGGATGTCTTTTTCTTGTTCCACCACATACACTAAAAAAGTGTAAGCTTTTCCCAAGATGAGAGTTGGGCTGAGAGAGTTGGGGCTGTTCAGCCTGTAGAAGAAAAGGCTCTGGGGAGACCTCATAGCAGCCTTCCATTGCCTGAGGGGGCTACAGGGAAGCTGGGGAGGGGCTTTTTACAAGGGCTTGTAGTGAAAGGACATGGCGCAGTGGATTAAAACTGGCAGAGGGGAGATTTAGGTTGGACATTAGGAAGAAAAATTTAGTGTGAGGATGGTGAGACACTGAACAGGCTGCCCAGGGAAGCTGTGGAAGCCCCATCCCTGGAAGTGTTGAAGGGCAGGTTGGATGGGGCTCTGAGCAAACCTGGTCTAGGGAGAGATGTCCCTGCCCATTCAGGGGGGCTGGAACTAGATGATTTTTAAGGTGCCTTCCTACTCAAACCATTCTGTGATGCTTCTGTGATTCTATGATAAGGCAGTAATTTCAGTGAATACATGCTCTGGGCAATCTCCAGTTTCACATTAGAGGCTGTACCGAGTGTTTCTTTTCCTGCTTGCAGTGAAGAACTACAGAAGTCCTGAACGTTTTATTTGAAATACATTTATTTTAAAATCCACTTTGATTCTTCATCCTTCTTACCTTCATTCATTTAGTTTAGGAGTATCGACAATTTTACAAAGCGACACAAGCTGCAGTGTTGGTTGGTTGGTTGGTTGTGGTAGGTTTTTTTTTACATGAAACGAGAATAAACCTCAAACAACAACATTGAAAAAATATACAATATATATATATATAATATCTGGGGGGGGTGGCTGTGACCCCACATAAGCCCTGTGGCTGGCTTCTTCTGAATTTCTGTTCTTTCCAAGCCTCTCCTTCACCACAGTTGGAACTGTGCTGGTGTCACGGGCAAGTGCCCTAAAACACGTTTCTAGAGAGCCAGCTGGGGGGTCAGTAATGTGGGGAATGTCCACAAGGAGAATGGCAGAAGACCAAGGAACATGAGAGACAGAAATGACAAATGAGGGAGGAGCGCATGTGTACAGGGGGAGGGAAGGAGGAAGTTAAAAGTAAGACTTCTTTTCCTTCCAGCCAGATGTTTCAAAGCTCCTAGTAGCGGTGAGAGCCGTCGCTGTTGCCCACGATGTGCCGGTCACCTATGTCATTGCTGTCCGGGGAGTCGGGTGTCTCCGAGTCGCTGCTCTCATCATCATCATCCTCCTCTATGCCTTCCCTAGCTCTGCCCTCGCTGCACTCTGCTGCCTTCTCCTGGCAGCTCTGGTAGGACTGAGAAGGGGAGACACGGGGTAAGGAGAAGGACCTGACACCCCAGCTGCCCGCCCAGCTGCTCTGGCTGCTCCTCACTTAACCTCCATGGGGTTGACGATGATGGTGAGGGCTGAGTCGTCCCAGAACATGTCGCTCTCCTTGCCTCCAGTGCTCGAGTGTCCCCCTTCAGCAGCTCCAGGGACCGCTTGCCCCACTCCCCGCCGGTGCAGGGAGTGGATGCGCAGGATGCCAAGGATCACCATGAGCGCCAGGAAGCCCACACACACCATGATGTTGACAGTGGCAGCACTGGGGACCACTTCAGAGAAAAAATGTGAAGGCTTGGTTAGAGTCTGTCGCAGAAACGTGCATCTCTAACCTGACCTGCAGGAGTGGGTTGCTGGGCAGGGGCTGGGGTTCTGGTCTAGGCTAGAACATGCCCTGACTTTTCTGCTCCCCTGCACACAGGCATATCTGCCTTCAGCTGCTCTATCGTAGCTTGAGGCCTGTGTGGTTTTCCAGGATGCCTAGTTCCAGGCATCCTCTGATGTTGGCCTTGGTTGTAGACTCTGCACTTCTTTATTTACAGAAGTCACCAGAATATGCTGCACAGCAGCTGTTTTTTCTCTCCCTTCTGGGAGGGAGAAATGTGTGCTAGGGAGAGCCTCTAACGCACAGGATGATTTGCAGAGATGTGATTTCTGTGCAAGCAGGAGAGAAAGAAGGAAGCTAAAATGAGTCTTTGCACATGTGGCAGAGGTGAGGGCCATGATGGCCTTTTAGTAAGTGCCATGGTCAAACCCTACCTTCACAGGAGACAACATGCAATTCAACTGAGACCCCTTGCCCAACTCCCACCCCTTTGTTCTAGGCCTGTAGGCCGACCCTTGACTCCCCGGATAACCCCCTTCCCTGCAAGATCTATCCAGGCTCTCCGTGGGTTTGCTCTGGATGGTTCTGTACATTAAGGACACCTTTTCTGCTGTGATTGGACAGAGCTTGAGAAGGGTCCAGCAAATTTGTTTGTGTTCTCCCAGCATGTACATAGGCTCAGTGCAGGCTGCAGAACTGGCCCAGCTTGGGATCAGCTGCTGCAGGAAGCTGCAGCAAAAGCTAGCCCCAAAGGTGCTCTCCATCTTCCCTATAACGGGGCCAAAGCCAAAGCAGGGTCCTCAGGAACAGTCTTAGAGCTTTCTCAGCCTGGGAGGAGCCAAATGAACTGTGGTCATGCTTGTGACACAGGGCTGCCAGCACAAACCAACAAATCTGAACTCTAGCTTTCTAGCTTATCTCTCCTCTGTTTTGGGGCCAAGAATCCTGCTGTTGTCTGTGTGGTGCTGTCTTCTGTATTTTTCTGCCTTGCTGATCACCTAGCCCCATCTCTTTTTCTACAGCAGCAGAAGTCTTGGTTCCCTTGTTTCTCTTCTGCTGTTGAAGCTTCTTTCTGAAATGATATTACCTGGGCCCACATAGCACCTTTGCAAGGTATGAAATCATACCAGCTTAGAGTTGTTCTTTTTAAGACCTCCTCAGGTCTAGATTTCAGACTGCTTCTACATCAAGAAAGCAACATCCCAACAGAGGAGGGTTGTTGTACCAAGCTTTAAAACACAGTTTGATGCAGCCTGCAGTCCATCTGCTGATGAAGAGTGGGACAGGACAGTATAATGGGTATAGGGAGCCTGAAAGGAATCCTCTGCTATAGGTTCTACCAGGATTTTAGAAAATTAGCATCCTGACCTAAAGGAATAAAACCAAAAGATAGGGTTACATACTTGGGTTGTGCTGGGTGCTTGCCAAGCTGTGCCCAGATAGCTCTGGGGGTAAATGGTGGCCTCGATGCATGAACTGCTGGGAATTCAGGATATGGTTAGGATGAGCGGCTTGGTTCATGTTGTGGAGGACATTGACCTGCAGAAAAAAAAGTGAGAGAGACTCAGCCCTGTGTTTATGGTGCATTCTACATTGTATGTGTTCCCACCCACCTTGTTCTCTTCATGCATGCAAAAGCACCTCTATGTGCATGTATTGATCTGGTACCTCAACAGTAAACTCATTGCTGGAGTAGCGTCCATTCATCTCAGTGCAGGAAAGGTGGAATTTCCTTTCATAAAGAGCAGCACCATGGTTGATGTGGTATGAGACCTGGTGTAGTATCTCCTCGTAAACTGCAATGCTCTCCACACCTGAGATAAGAAGAGAGAACTGGTGTGGGGTGATGAAGCTCCTGCTTCAGGGTCATCTGGCATCATAACGCTGTAGCAACTCTTGTAGCTGCAGAGAAAGCCAAGGCAATGCTGGGTTAATTGATTTTGGGAAGGGAGCTGAGCTGAAGCTGGCTGCAAAGGACCTGATTAAATCCCTGCTTGTGTTGCTAAAACAGGTATAAGGGGAAAAAAAGAATCAAGAGCAACAGCCCTGTTAAATTCTGGAGAGTATGATAGTGTTGTACCAGTCCACAACCTGTGAGATGTGCTGTCCCCATGTCATGTCACCCAAAATGCTGCTGGCACCTGAGAACACAAAACCCCAAGAAGTGAGTCAGGAGGAGTGATACAAGCCTGGGTGACAGCTCAGACACCGTGCCCTCGCACTGGGTGCTGGAGGAGGAACCACCTCCCTAAGGTTTGGAAGGCCTGGGACTTCCAAAAGCAAAGATTTCAACAGATGGTTACAACTCAAGAGTCTCATGAAATACACCAACACACCACTGATGTCAGCACTTACACTTCTCCCAAGGATGCCTGACAGGCAGTGGAAGAGATGTAGACAGCTGTGGCCAAGGAGAGGACATACCTGAGATGGTCAGGTAGGCAGAGGTGTTGACAAGCTCCAGGCCCCTCTGCTGCAGCAGTGCCCCATCCAGGAGCAGATACTCCCTCTCTGGGTCCAAGTCGTCTCCTACCAATGAGATCTCGCAGCCATCCAGGTTGTGCACGATCTCATCTGACATCTGTGTGTCTGTCACTGAGATGCAGATAGAAAGAAGACATGGCCAGAAAGCCAGCCAGCCACCAGTGAAAGCAGGAGTCACTCAGAATGTACCCACTTACTTAGAAGTGCTCACATAACATGTAATGACTTCTCTTTCTCTGACCTTGAGTAAAATTACTGTCAGTCTAATTACTTGTTGAAGGAGTTCCCTTCTGGCTCTAATGATGTTATTTATGCATATAACACAGTCACCAGACACAGTATTACCAGACTGTTTCATGATAACATATCTTGGCTGAAAGGACTCTGTTGACAATAACAATGTGCAAATTAGGAACCACACATTTGCAGGCCCTGAGTGCTTTTGAAAGCTTTCCCGTCTCACGGCTGCTGGTTACCATAGTTGACATCTCACCTTTAAGATGGCAACCACCTTCAGCGACTGCTTTCAGCAGGGCTAAGACCAACCTGCTCTAAGTCAAGCAACTCATTGTATGAGGAAAGGCAAAGCTGCCAACCAGAAAACTATGAGCAAAACATCCCGTTACCAAATGAGATATGGAAGAAGTGAAAGGACACGTGGAGCATAGAGTGCAGAGAAGCAATCTGGTGATGGAGGGAAATTGAGGACAAGGTATTAGATGGTGTGAGGAAACTGACTGGGGAATTCACAGGAATAAGCAATGCACAAAGAGAGAGGAGGGAGAAATAAGGAAAGGACGAGACAGAAGCAGGAGGAGATTGAGTAAGTGCATGAGTGGAGAGCGTAACAGGCAGGACATCCATTCATTGCTGTATTCAATAAAGGGAAATGTAGGTAAAATGTGAAAGGGATTAGCAATGAGTAGCCTGGGAAAGAAGGAGGGGTGAGGCAAAGGAATGGAGGGGATAATTTTTTACAGGGAGGAGCAGAAAGGGATAAGAACCGATTAGCCTACATATTGAGAGACTGTGCCTTGCTTCTATATTTGGAAACTCTCTCCTGTTTGGGGTGTAATGAGGGGCTGTGCTTGCCCTGCAGGACAGCAACACTTGTCTTTCCAGTTTATCTCTTATACCTCACCCTCTACTCACCAGGATCATGCCAATTCTCATCCTTCTTGGCCTCCACCTGGTGAGAAATAGAACAGGTGATCTGGAGGTTGGGGAACAGGGGAACCCCATCAGGAGCCTCCAAGTCTGATGCAGGATGAACAAAGTGGGCATTGCCACTCAGCAGGATTTGGGGGGCATCAGGCTGTAGCACCACAACATAACCCTCCACATCAGGAATGGAGACGCAGGACTCTTCACTGAAACACCTAAAGGAGAAACAGAAAGCATCAGTTGGTCCAAGCTTCCACCATCACCATCATAAAATAACACCTTCTGTCCATTACTGCCAGCTAGGGGAATACCCTTTTTGTGGTAGCCCTGCTAAAGCTTCCCTACAGCCTGCTATGCAAGACAAGAGAGGTGCTGTAGGAATGACATCACTGGGTTTCTGGTGACTTAGCCACATCCACATATCACAGAGAAAATGAAAATCAGATCACATGCCTGGAACACCATGAGTGAAGGCAGAAGTTCTTCTACCTGCATAGACCCCAGGACCCAGTATTACAGCATCCATTTGGGTACTGGATACTTTAGCATTTCTTTTCAGGAAGACTCTTACCCATTTTGAAACCATTCATTGTAAGAAAAACACCAGGTGAAGGAGTGTAATTTGAGTCAGAAGAGAGGAAATCCTCTGCTGCTTTGCCCACTCACTTGACAGCCGTGGTGAGCCTGAGCGGCCGGACGCCGGGGGTGGCGAAGCGGAGCGAATTCATGTAAGCGACGTGCTGGATTGCATGGTTGAAGGTTTCCACATCATCACCCTCCAAGGTGAGCAGGGACTGAGAGGGGTTCACATGAACCTGTGAGTGGAAGAGAAGAAAATACTCAGGGTTCCTTGAGCAAATGCCAAGAATCCAGGCTAAGAGACACAAAAGGAGAAAGGTGGGAAGTTGTCTGAGGTGGGGGAGCAGGCGAAGTCCTGGGGAGCAAGGCTGGGGAGGAGAGTGGAGGGTACCCATGCAAGCTGGGCAGATGGGCATACCTTCATCCCTTTGCCCAGACTGTCGAAGTCACTGTAATCAAGCCCCTCACGGCAGGCATACAGGCATTCAATAACCTCCCGGCTCTCCAAGCTGCCAGGGCGCACAGTGAAGCCAGCCAAGTAACCATGGAAGTAGTGGTGGATCAACAGAGGACCTCCTGAAGGAAACATGGGAGGTGGAGGGTGTGAGAGACACAGCAAGGAAGAGAGCAAGACAACAGGATCAACAGTGTGAGTGGCGTGTGGAGGTTAAAGGAGGCAGAGGCAGACACAGGTGTGTGGGACGTGGGAAAGCCAAGACAACAAAAGCAACAATGAGGGTCATACAGATGTTAAGGGAGGTAGAGACAGACAGAGCGGTT